CGACCCCTACCCCTCCGATCCTCGGTTGATGAGCGATCTTGAGATGCGATCTCACCGGCTCCGCGGCGGACGCAGTTGTCAGCGACGCCGATTTCCCTTGTCTATCGATGCTGCAACCAGGAAAAAGTGTGCACTAGTCCCCCAAGTATCCGACCCTATGTGGCAGTCGTCCAGTCCAAAAGTGAATCAGTGAGTTCGAAAACACACGGAACAAGTTTCGAGTTTGATTTTTTTACGGTTTGAAACACTTATGGATCAGTGGCGAGGCGTGATTGATCGACTATCGATATTTTCCCATTTAAAACGATGGTAAATAATCGATCATGAAGGTGTCCCTTGCGAACACCCTGTTTATCGATTCTTTTCCCCAGGTTTAAATGACAGATCAATCGATGTATCGCAAAGTACGCCACGCCACTGTTATGGATAGAAGCATCTGCACGCGAAAGGTTATTTCGAAATTGTAATGGGAAGTGCTCGAAACAGCGACGGGAAAAGGGAAGAATCGAAGTATTTCATTAGAAATACCAATTTTTGGCCATATCAAGGGAAACGGTTGACCAACCGATTTTTCGGTTTTCTTTTTTCGGTTCAGTATACCTTGTACCAAAAAGTTGTATGAATATTCAAGCGTTATTCAGGTCGAAAAGTATACATTTTTTTGGGCAGACTATAAAAAATCAGTATCTGAAAGTCGGTGAGAACTAAAACTCACCAACTCGGAAATTTTTAAACGCTTGATTCTCTGTCATCAAACATGGTGTATCGATTTCAACTTGGTGCTTTACAAAGTCTCTAAGTACTTGTCCTTTGGCACCAAAAAGGTTTTTCTTAAACTAACTTCTTCGCCCGCTGCGCTGTTTTAGGTGTTTCCTGAACAATCTTTTTTTCCGAGTTGGTGTGTTTTCGAACTCACTGATTAAAGTATAGTTACAAAAAGTACGGATAATCCGCAGCTCATTTTGATGAGCGTATTTTCACACTTACACTGAAAAAAAGTTGCGGGCTACATAGACATACCCTCCGTTCCGGGCTCAGAGGCCGAAAGTTCCGGGTGCTGGAGCCGTACCTTCGACTGCTCCGGGTGTTACACCTGGAACTTTCGGCCTCCGAGCCCAGAACACGGACGGTTTGTGTATATAGCCCGAAAGTACGGTTTCCACGGCCGGAGTTTTTTTCTACAGTGTACCATTCATTGAACGTGAAATTTGAAAAAAATAAAACTTGAAGCCGATATACTGTCACTTTAAATGGGAGAAATGAGTGGTGAGGGTTGTTGGGCTCTATAGTGATATATGCGCGGATGCTCGGCTAAAAATGTCTTATATACTTTTTTATTATGCTTATTATTCGCGGATTCTATAAACGCAAATGCATGAAAATTCTAGGTGCATTTCAAATATTACACAGAATTGCGTTAAGACCTCGAGAGTCCCTTACGATATTCAATAAAAATAAAGCGTAACTGTGTAGGAATTTAAGGGAAAGCATTAAACAATTATAGATGGGATCTTCTCTGTTATACTGAAGTCTCGAGTTTTTAAGGTTTATGTGTGAACAGGACATTTTACAGAACCTACAGGCCGATCGTTTGAACCTAAGGTCTGAATTCGATCCATCAATCAAATCTATCATTGCGACAGATGAAAAGTTTAATTTTTCAACCCATTTATGAAGAGACTAAACTAATTCACTGAAAGGGCTCAAACAATTTTAAAAATGAAGCAACCAATTTAATTTCCTAGACGGCACTTTTTGCACTTTTGCACTGAACATTAAAAATTAACAAATCAACAGAAAATTAACTGGAAAGGCCAAAAAAGCCGGAACGCCTTCAGGTTTTTGGGTATGCAACGTGGCCAGCTGTTGAGCAGGAATAGTCGCCCTTGAAAGCTACTGATAATATGGCACATCCAGCCACGTCAACACCGTCCAAATTCACAATGACTGATTGAAGTTATTCTGTATATACAAACTAGTTCCGGTAAACAGATAATTGTCCTGGTAACAATACCCGCTAGTTATAAAAAACCGAAGCATCAGACTGAACTATTTTTAACCGCAGAAGTAACGTTGTGATTCTCAAGAAGTCACAAGTCTAGTGGTTGTCACAACTTGTGACTACCACTATAGATACGTAGGTAGGACCTGGCATGCAAGCAGCAATTTAAGAGCAACGATTATTTTTCCTCCCTGCAATTCGTTATTTTGTATATTTTCCGTCAGTAGGAAAAGAGACGGGTGCGGCAACATAGCAGTAAGAAGAACAATGTAACCTAGAAACTGGAACCATCAGTGCGCATCCCGAGAGAGTGTATTTGCGTCTGTGTCTGTGTGTGCGCGAACAAAGGAGAGCGAAAGTAAACAGCGAGCAGCGCATCTTTGTAGGCACTCGGACCTGGGTGCGGAGTTCCAGATCCAAATCTACATATTTCGGGAGGTGGCGTGGATGATGGGCCCTAATATCATGAGGAAGGGAGGAACGCGGAAACTCTGGAGGATGCGTGAGGACTGCGGCTAGATATGCTTATCTTCAAGTTATTATTCCCATGGAATCCCAAATCTCCTGTCCGTATAACAATGCTGGAGGTTCTTTAAATTCATGCGGTCAGATGACAGGTTCAATTCGAGGATAATGTGGAAGTAAGCCATGAGGTCGAAAGTTTATGTCTACTCTTGGCCTACAGATGGGACTCATGGCTCGTAATAGAACCTTCCCTTTTTTCTTTTTTCCCCCTTTTTTTTGCGTTGGTAAAATCGTGGATTAACGTTATCCAACAAGAAATGAGAAGATACAATTTTGCAGTGGCAGTTGAGTATCGCGAGTCGCACGGAAGGGCAATAAAAGTGGCAAATAGAAAAAAAAAGAAGGTAAACAGCGTCTTAGTTGCAATTTTGTAAGTTTTTCCGTAAAGATGAATTTGATTGAAAGTTAAGTGGTGTGCATTCTCTCATATTTTTTTTTTATTTTGAATTATTTTTCGATTAATTAACAAATAAAATGAAACAATTTAGCCCTGGTAAAAATTGGCAGTAGAATCTGTGTTCTAAAATACCATAGACCTACAACCGACTGTAAGATTTCCAATAGCTTCTATAGCCGGCAGCACAATTTCTTATATCCTTTTTTAGCCGATGGCGATTAAGCAACAGCCTGACGATAAAGTGTATGCTAAACGTGACTAATTACGGATGCTAGGACTTAGTGAGTTTTTGGACTACCGCTCTCTTTTTGGGCCTAAGTATCTTGCTTTATTTTGCGAGGGAAGCTCCGTACTTTTGAAGGATGCCTGCCATTCCTAATATGTTTGAGCGCCTTCAATTTCGTATAATACTGTGCAATACCTCTGGTGTGAAATAGTTGCTTCAAGCGCCGTGGTACGCTGCGGCACGGCGGGCGGGCAGCCAGCGCCTACAAACCTAACAGGGATACTTCACGCATTGCGTAATGCGTGAAGTATCCCTGTTGGGTTTGTAGGCGCCAGTACGCCGCCGCTCCGCTTTGTGTTAGGCTCTAATATTTAATCTCGTGGAGTCAGCGTTTTTCAACTCATGACTTTGAAATGTTTTCACACTCTGCATGGATTATTCTCATTTTAATTAATGAAAAAAAAATATGTAGTAAAGGAAAATATAACGTGCGTTTTGTAAATATGAAGGTGACTCCGTACAAACTTAAGGATTTACAAACCACACGAATTTCTACAAAATTTCTTATAGCCTTTCATTGCCGATGGCGAAAAAGCAACAGCCAGGCGATAAAGTGTGAAGCTCGGCGATAGGAACTATAGCCCGGCTGTATAATTTTTTATCGCTTCGTGTAGCCCGGCCGTATGATTTTTTCCACTTTCTACAGCCAGCTATATGATTTTCTATCGCCTAGTCCGTCGGCTATAAGAACTCCTATGGTATTCTGAAACGCAGCTCCTATCGCCAATTTTTACCAGGGAGGGAAAGCTTTTTATTAATATTTATATCCGTAAAAGCTTATTTTAAGATTCTCCGCAAAGTTGATTTATACATGATTTGACCTTTATTAACTGGTTTGTTCATTTGCTTGCGGGGCTCAAAATGTTATTAGTAATTAGGAATGTTTAAACCCTCTATCGAAAAACGCGACTTCTGACGTTATCCGCCGCAGTAAAGCCTACTGTAGCTCTATTCACTTTTGTCTCTCAGTAAGAGATCAATTAATTTGTGCCAGTGAAACCGCAGTCTCACACATTTTCTAAAAATCTAAGTGGAGCCGCTGCGGATAGTGTCTATCTGCTATCTCTAAAATTTAAAGAAGAAACTCAACCTCAGGACAAAACTTATTATTTCGCTACTCTACAGAGATCCGCCATTAAAACACGTTTTCATGACTAGAGCAAATGATCCACTGTCCAATGAATTTTCCGATCCTATGCTGCGGAGGAAAAATACAACGTCTTATAGGATTGCGGTTTTCTCTGCTGCTCGCTTTGTACTCTTTTTCATGTAAGTACACTTTCTGGATATCTGAATACACGCGTTTAGTGGAGCCATCGTTTGATTGAGACTTTAAAGAAGAAACTCCACCTTAGGACAAAACTTATTATTTCGCTACTCTACAGAGATCTTCCATTAAAACACGTTTTTATGACTAGAGCAAATGATCCACTGTCCAATGAATTTTCCGATCCTATGCTGCGGAGGAAAAATACGACGTTTTATAGGATTGCGGTTTTCTCTGCTGCTCGCTTTGTACTCTTTTTCATGTAAGTACACTTTCTGGATATCTGAATACACGCGTTTAGTGGAGCCATCGTTTGATCGAGACTTTGAAGACGCCTCGCTGGACAGAAACAATGATTCAATATAGGGATTCCATGGACGATAAGTGGTTTTACTTGGCAGGGTAGGAGAATGACTCTGCACTTGACACCTCACGGCACGGCACGATGCACTGATCAAGCTTCTCAAACTATCCGGAGCCCGGCTCAGAAAAGAGTATATGAAGACGTTGTACGGACGCTTTATCAATAGACGCACTTGGGCGCTATTGCTGCCGCTGACACCACCACCTTGCACTCCGTTGTGCCTTGCGCGCCCAGCCGAAGCTGAATGAAAATTGAAAATCATGCGGTCAACAGCATCAAACGTTGCCGAGATGGACCTTTTCTCCAAAAAATCTCGTGTTTTGTAATGTTAAGTGAGCAATTCGATTAAAGTGTGGCAACGTTAGTGTTGAGGTAAAATAAGTCGCACGTCATCGCCGGATAATAAAACAGGGCAGTGTTGCAAGATTGGATAAAATGAATTCCTTTTACTCGCTAGATAAAAATATTTAGTTGGGCACTAATGCGATATCTTTGTCCATGTGGACTGTAAGACAATACTGTGTCGGTTCCATAGGCCCTGAGCTTTCGAAACAAGATCAAATTATACGGACCTAATGATAGGCTTGACAACTTTCAACACAGTTAGCCTTAGTGAAATTTTCTTTTTTCCCATATGAAACAACTGTAAGACTGCGTTATTCAGCGCGGCATCAGAAACTGTTTGACATACATGCTGAGCCCTTTACCTTTACCTAGCCTTTAAACCTATGCCTTTTAACCTAAATAATCGATTCTTATCGGACTACCTGGCCCCTCCAAGAATCGATATATTTCCATAGATTTAAATGAAGGAAAGACAATGTTCCCAATTTGCTGGATCCGCCAATGCCAAAGAAATATAAGAAAAAATTACCTACCATGACAGGAAGATGACTGGTGAAGAAGCAGAGAACTGAGACAGCCGCGACGGTGATGAGCTGGACCTCCAGGTCAGGCCGCCGATGCTTGGCCGCTAGGACCGGCGCCCGACTGTTGGTCGACGAGGGCGAAGTGGTCGTCGTCGAGAGATGGCAGTCATGGAGCGCAGCGCAGCTCGCCGAGTCCTCCATCAACCTCGCTTCCTCCGGGACCCTCAACTCCTCGGTGAGCATCTGCTGGGACGCGCTCAACTTGTCGTTCAACACGGACCCCGAGCCGCAGCTCAGCTGGGTGTTGTAGACGAACTTGCAGTCCCCGTTTACGTAGACCTGGTTGCGCAGGAGCTCCTCCACCAGGCAGTGCCGTCGGTTCAAGTTGGAGGAGCAGTTGCTCACCGAGTAGTTGACGCCGCGGTTCCGCGACTTGGACGAGAGCATGGATATGTCCGACAAGGCGCACGATAGGTCGGAGGATGAGTTGAGCAGGAGGCGTCGCTGGTTTTGGTAGTAGGTGTTGGAGACAGAGGTGCCTACGCTCCCGCGGAGGCAGCTGCTGTAGATCAGCACGCAAAAGGAGAGCACGATCAGGGCGCTGTGGAGCGTCAGCCAGAAGGAGATGTACCTGTTGACAAAAAAACACCCACTGTTGAAGAACATGGATTGAAAATTCGTCGTTTTCCGGACAAATCCGGAATAATCCTTAGCATTGCGCTGGAACTGACTATGGTTTACATTTTTCAATCCAAGCAGCGAATTTTGTTGAACTTTTTGGCCTTCTTTCCCATGGGACAGTGCAGAGCATGAACTACTCTATAGCATCCTATCGACGTAGAAGTTGATATCACTCCAAAACGTCTAAGCATTTTGTTGATTAGTTCGTCTTACCCTAGCCTTCGGTTTCCCCTTTTTTTTGTATTTTTTCCCAATACTTGGATGAGTAACACAGGAACATGAGCGACCACGGGTGAAATCAAACAAGCAGAATGCGTGGGACCTTTTGAGGGTGGATTTAACCCCCTTCTTGACTAGGACACAAATTTATATTTAAAATTTTAAAAATCAAAAGCTCTCGAGACCCGCATTTATGACCATCACGAATCTCGTTATCACAAATAGGGGTATAAGGGGATCTTGATTTTTATAAGTTCACACTGAAAAATGAAAAACTTCGAGTGTGGAAGCCGTAGTTAGGGGCTATACAGCTTTACCGTCGCGTCGGTTGCGGGCTGGGAGGCAAAAAGTTACAGGTGAAGCAGACGCTGCTCCGACCTCTGCAACCAGAGCAGTCGGAGCTGCGGCCTCAGCACCCAGAACTTCGAGCCTCTGAGCACACACACAGGGACGATATAGCCTGTAATTACGACCATTTGGCGCAATGCATGCAGTATTCTTGCAGTCTTGTAGGCGCTGAAATACTCGCACGTTCACGCCGACCGCATGGTGTTTGGCGCAATGCGCGAAGTATTCTTGGAGCCTTGTAGGCGCTAATATGTTGTCACGCCGACCGCATGGGGTCCGGCGCGATTATTTTATCTCGCAGAGTCCAGGGTCATTCCATTGTAACGGGTGTGACAACAATTTAACTTTAAACAAGAATTTGAACTCTTTCTTGGGGTTTAATTAAAAAATTGTCTGCAGTAGCAGAAAGAACTTTTTTTATAGATCATTTTAGTTTATCAGAAATTGTTTTTACTTTGTTCCATTCCTCAGGAAAAAATTAAAAGGCTGCGTAACGGGCGTGACCGATTTTGGAAGTGAGTTTTTCCTCAGTGAGTGTAAAGTGGAAACTCAGCGAATTTTATGAATTTAAAAATCTGATTAAATTATATGATGAAGCCAAGGGTTTTTGCTTCATCTGCCGATGATCCGTTTTCGATTATCTTTTTTTCTTTCCTTGAAAAATGGGAGAGTTTGCGTAACGGGTGTGACGTAACGGGTGTGACAGATTGTCTCTCTGAGGTCCACCATTTCTGAGAGAGTTTAAAAGTTAAAAAACTTACTTTTCTTCTCATACTCTTATTGCAGGCAATCCTAAGCAGTAAATCAATCAGCAATTTGACGCATTTTAATGTAGAACATGCCAAAACTACATTTTTCTACAAGGTGGTCCAGACCTACCGTTTGCGTTACGGGTGTGACGTAACGGGTGTGACAGATTGTCTCTCTGAGGTCCATCATTTCTGAGAGAAATTAAAAGTTAAAAAACTTACTTTTCTTTTCATACTCTTATTGTAGGCAATCCTAAGCAGTAAATCAATCAGCAATTTGACGCATTTTAATGTAGAACATGCCAAAACTACATTTTTCTACAGGGTGGCCCAGACCTACCGTCTCAGGGCTTTTCTTCGGGTAGCTCAGGATTCCCCTTTCGTCCCCGCGGTCCTGGACCTCGTATGATCCAAATTAACCCAAAAAAAATCCTGGTACGGTAGGTCTAGGCCTATAGTTAAGTGAAAATATTTCAATCCAATCGGAGAGAGTTCAACGAGTTCTATTTGAAGTCCTTTTGAGATAGGTGTATTCACTTTAAATACTGAAATATGGCAAAAAAGTTGGCTATCTCTCTCTTATTGGATGTATACATACCTCTAATTGTGCATATGAGTGTATTTCTTGTGATAACCATAGAAAAAATGGTGAGAAGTGAAGCAACATCTGCATAATTGAAGCCTCTTCTCATTGGTCACACCCGTAACGTGTCACACCCGTTACGCAGTTTTGCCTATCAATTGTTGAAATAAAAATTTGAAAAAAATACTCCAAAGCTGTACTTGACTTGAAGACGTACGGAAAAAATTAGCATTTCAAAATAACATGAATTAAAATAGTTACATTAAAAAACCCATGTTTTGCGTAACGGGTGTGACAGTCAGTACACTAAGTTTTAAAAGTTACGTATAATACACAGCAATTACTTTTAAAAATTGAAACTTTGCAGGAGCACATTGAATCAGTTTCTTGACAACTGCAAACATAAACTGAAACTTGGTTTTGGCGGGAACACCAGAAAATATTGCTACCAAACTGTCACTCTTTTTACAGTAGGATGAAGTTAACCAATGGGGTTACAAAACACGTGAAAATTGCGAGAAAAAAAACAAAACGGATGTAAACCCCATATATTTCCAAAAACTAGGAGTATTAAGGAGTCCAAAAATAAATATTGTTGGGTCATTTGGAGGGGAAAAAAAAATACCCTCCGGACTACCTAGGCGTGGAATGACCCTCCAGCGTATTTTCTTGTTTCTAGGTCGGAAAGTGGGTTGAAACCATACCCGAAACGTCCCAGGCATTCTGTTTGTTTGTTTTTAGCCTTGATTGCTCATTTTTTTTTTTTTTTTTTTTTTTTTTGTCTTTTAGTTGAATTATTCTGATTATTTTTTAGTATTATTCACGGACGAATAATACAGTGCTTGCTCTCTGTAACGACTATCGTGATACCAAAAATCTCTCCGTAACGAGGAAATTAGTCGGCCCCTTGAACTTCCTGTATTAAATACCGACTATCGATATAACGAAAATCTCTCTCCATCGAGGAGATCGGTCGGTCCCTTTGAGTTCTCGTTACAGAGAGAAACTACTATTATTCAATATTTAATATTTCAATTGGGATCACTGGAAAAAAGCACATTGGATCTAGAGTCTAGACTCTTGAAAACATTGACTAGAAAAAATACTCTTGATTCAATCGGATTTTTGCTTGAATCAAAAGGAAATCCGCTTAAATTAAGAGGCTTGGTTCTTGATTGTTCTTGATTTAAGCTAGATTCTGATTGAATCAAGAGTACTTTTTCTTGTCGATGTTTTTAAGAGTCTGGACTCTAGATCCAATGTGTTTTTTTCCAGTGATGAATATTAATTTTCTTGTATTATTCTTGAAGGTGATGTTCGATTACCTCTTGTCAGAATAGTAGACACAATGGTCAGTCTTGCCGATGACGGCGGCGACGCCGATGCAGGAGCTGATGAGGACGAGGCAGGCAAGGTGGTAGATGAGGTGGGACTTGGAGAGGGTCTTGCGGAACTTGTCGCGGGGGAGGCGGAGGTGGAGGAACTTGGAGAAGACGAGGGTGGCGAGGGTGGCAGCCTGCATGGCGTCGGCGGCGGCGAGGAGGAAGGCGAGCGCGGAGCACCAGTCGTCCGAGGGGCGGAGGAGGTGGACGGCCGTGAGGGCGGCGGCGGCGAGTTGCCGGGCGAGCGCCAGGAGGAGGAGGGCCAGCAGGAGCGGGTCCAGGAGCCGCCATTGCGCGCGGTGCGAGTAGACGATCAGCGCGGCCCAGCCGAGCCAGACGCCGACCAGCGGCCCTGCCACGCCGGCCGCCAGCCACGAGGCCGTGTCAGCCCGCATCGCTTTTCCTGAAACACACAAGAAAAAAGACCAATCAGTGTTTTGGCATCATTGGCGGGTAAAATTAGACGCAAGAATGGACTAGATTCTTTTAACTGTGTTTGACGCAATGCATGAAGTATTCTAGCAGTCTTGTAGGCGCTGATATGCGTTTACGCCGACCGCATGGTATTTGGCGCAATGCGTGAAGTATTCCTACAGCCGTGTAGGCGCTGACATGCGTTCACACCGATCGCATGGTGTTTCGCGCGATTATTTTAGCTAATATGAGCCCCAGGCAAACCCTCCTGCGGGCAGATTTTTGAAATGATAGACAAAGCTATAGACAAAGAAGACAAAAGGGATATGGAGGGATCCTAAAGGTGGAAGCGGGTGTTTGCAATGACGGAGGAGGTGGGTAATAGACAAACTAACAGCAACAAACGAGAGACGCTATAGTTATTCCATAATTTTCTTCCTTAGTATATAGGAACTACGTATTTCAACCGATAGGATCCCTCCATACTCCCTAGGTCTATACATTGTCTATAGTTTTGTCCATCAATTTCAACAATCAACTTCGGAAACATGGTGGCGACTCTGAATAAAAGGGCTATTACCGGTGGAGGTGACAAAAGCCACGGTGCCTTCATTTTTCGTCAAGGTAACACGGATATCGATTACCAAAGTGCAAAAGTTTTTATCTCCGTTCGCGTTGCTTTGCAGACTTCCTGTCATACTTTTTAATTTTTTTAGAAACCCAGTCATTGTAAGTTTCTAAAAACTTTCTTGATTTTCCTTTCCTGTCAGCAGTACATTCTAGATGAATTTCAAACTATGAAGTTGACTTGTTTCTCCGAGTAAATAAAAAAGCAGCGGAAATTTTGAAACACTGAAATAGAGATACGTTGGCCATCGATATCTTTCAATGATGGAGAAACGTAGGAGAAGAGAGCTCCCTTATATTTTTCTACATGCAAGAACGGCGTGCCAGGAGTAAAAATATGAGAAACAAAATGCAGAGTGCCTTCATTTTTTTGTATATGCAACAAGGACGTCCAAGGAGCACGAATAGTTGTATTCAGACCTTATCATAACAATAACCTGAATAGCTGATCTCTTTCTGAAAAGAGTCTTTCCAAATATTATGGAAAATCTGCGGACGACCCCCCCCCCTCAATGTGTAATGAACTTGTCATCGGCGAAAAACATCTCTCCTTGTGAGTGGGGAGGGGATGTTTTCAAATAGATATGCCTGCAAACTGAAGTAATGTGTGTTCGCGCTTAGCGGCGCGTCCATTCCTGATGTGGATACTCGATGCTCGAGCAAGCGAGAATATTAATAGTCTAATGAATATTAAACACAGAGCGTAGGCTTATCTTGGCGATCGGGCCGATCATGATTTACTACTTTATCTTTGACCTACATTCTCTGTTCAACACGTAATTGGAGTGGTCCGGAGGACCGTTTGTCCGGGCGTTAATTTTAGCGCTTATTGGAGACACGTGACGAATACTTCCGGTCCATGTGCGTTTCGAGCAAGGATATTTTGTCTAGTCTTTACGATAGGAATAAATCAGCATAGAAATGTGTCAGAACCGGCTCCTAGTTATGACACATTGGTTTCAAATCAAGTGGCGAAGCTTTGGATTTGGAAGTAACCGAGTTGAGAAAAAAAACACTGGGAAGATAACCAGTTAGGACTGCAATACCATGAAGTATTTCATTTTAGGAAAATGAACAAAGGAAGGAAATTAAAGCACGAAGACGTATTAGGAAGGTTGGTTGGACTATATTCCTCAATTGGGAATCATTCTACTACCACTGGCTCATCCATAAAACTACCTATCTGCACAGGGAAACAAATGGCACAAATAGACGGCATTGTGCAGAAAGAAAGCTGTTGAAGGAATGCCTACTTGGCCTCGGTTTCAAAGCTAATGTGATTTGAGAAACGGCGCATATGTGCTAATCAGGACCTCTCGTGAAGCACAGGAAGGATTGTGACTTTAAAAGTTGGGGTTCCCTTCAAAATCTTGAAATAATTTCATCTAATTTAGGAAGTACAAAAAGTGTTACCCCAAATTGATACCAAGGAATGCAAAATCGGTCCATTCCGGTTCAAAATATCAACCCCTAAATTGCTTTGCTACGAGCACGTCATATGAGTTTTCAGACATTATGCCACATCTCAGACTAGGTACACAGAGATCCCTCTTCGTACGCACTCGAAATGTTGCATCTCTGTTGCAGTGAACTCCTGAGATTCCATATGCCTATCTTTCTGCCCAAGCGTTAAAGTCTCCGAGTCAATATCTCATGGAGACACATAGCCCTTCATTTGAACGCTGGCAATGTTGAAAACTTCCACTAGCGTATTAAACATATGCTCGTTGAGAACAAAATTTGCTCTTGCGATATTTTTCTGCCTCTTTAGCTATTTGCGCGCAATGTTTCCTTCCAAAAGTGGACGAGAGAAAAAATCCCATAAAAAATTGATGAAAGCTAGCATTTGTTCCAACTATTGACCCCTAAAAGTGGAAGACATAGGAAACAGGACACCCTTCCCTAAAATTCAGCGTCGCTAAATTGACATAAAGGCTCAAGAGGAAGCTATTCTCCTAGGTTATGGACCATCAGGAACCCAAATTTGACAGTCTCAGAGCCCTTTTAACATTTTCTGATGTGATATACGGGGTCTTTAATCTTGTACATTTTTCTTACAAATATACAGTTCTTAACTTATTAAGTACTACCGTGTATCACATCAGATAATACGGGGCTTTGGCGCTGCTGTCCAACTCGGATTCCTCGATTACTAAGAAAAACATCTGGAGAATACGATTGCTATTTTTTTCCATCACAATAATTACAGCACTAAAGCAAGATTTAAGGATAAACGGAACCAACCTGTTGATACAAATACAGTTTCTTAATTTCTAGAAATTTTAAGGTTTTTCCATGCTCACGAGTGAGGTAATATTACGGTGAATACAAAACTCAATCTGGTAACGGTGGAGATGTTGAAATAAAACTAAAATTGGTTTCCATTTTATGACAGCTCGACGCCTTGTTTGGACTGGGATCACCCGATGAATGCAGTTGATTGAAACGGTCGACTTTTGGTTCTTTTCCAACTACGGCATTAATTGCCATTAGGTTGGTGAATACAGGTGTGTAGGTATTGCAGATCTATACTTGAACGCAAAAAAAGGAAGGAATGTTTTATATATTCGCACCAACAGCTCTTACAAAAAGTATTTTTAACTGCTACTTGAAGGATTTTACTGTCATAATCGTCCATTGAATTGAAATTGAAAGTAAAAAATTGTTGTTTTTGTACTTTTTACTTTGATAAATGGTTCCCAAAAAAACAACGCGCTGGCTAACTTTTTAAAGTATATTGCTAATGTTATTATGTAACTATTTGTTCAAAGTTTTTGCACCGTATTTTTATTAACGAAGTTAAGAAATGTAGTAAAATAGCCTATGTAAATTGTTTAATTGCGCCTAAATGAATCTGGACTGTAAGTTTTCCACCGCGTTAGCCCCTTTCATTGACATATCTTCAAATTTAGAATTAGAATTGAAATGATGAACTTTTGGAATTTAGAGTTCATAGCAATTTGTATTTTAAATTTACCGTAGTTTTTCTTTATCAGTACATCAAGGCACATTCGAAAAGCTTCATCAAAGGAGGTAACGTAAGAGGAATATATATTTTATGGCATTTCGCTACTTTTTCCGAAAATACTTGAAATACTAAATGATTGATTTGTGAGCATGTAGATTTAAAAATCAGAATCAAATTCGATTTTTGTGTGGACGTAACAGCTTGCTTGCGAAGCGAACGGAAGAAAATCCTTTTGCGCCCTAGCATCAAACGCAAGAGAACGCTAACGGCGTTTTCGCAACAGGAAAATACTAATAAATAAACGAATATTTTAAAATTCTGCGCGTGAACGACTTCCGTGCACATCTACCTTATTAGGTGAGAAAGCAGGCTTATGATTGAACAGTTCATATAAAAAAGATGCAAGTATTATGAGGTCTCTCTGATATCTACGTCATTTTTAAGAAAAAATTCAATCTATCTGATACAGCGTCCTATGCTGCCGTGCTAAGGAAAAACGCCGTATGAACATTCGAGACTTGCCAAATTTCCTTTGATAAAATGTTTATTTTGGAGAAAAATTATGAATGTTTTTCCTTGAAATTTTCAGGAACTTCAGAACAAGATACGAACAAAATTCTCTGAAAATTCGAAAGAGAAATATTCGCAAGTTTGCCAAGAAATTCGTGTTTTATTAAAAGAAATTTGGCAACGCCTGAAGGTTCATACGGAGTTTTTCCTTAGCACGGCAGTATGGTCAAACCTCGTCAACATAAACGTGAGTGACAGAATACAAGGTAGGATCTGCGCGGGAAAAAACGTTGTCAGTTATTGATTACAACAGACACTGTTAATGGGGTATTGGAAAATATTATGGATTTTCAGACTCAATTTGACAGGTATTTCGAGACGGCAGAGAGAAAATTCGTTACAGTCACCTCTTCGGTCCCCTGTCCAGCACGATAAAATCGATCCAACACCAAGGTTGTCATGTTCCGGGAAATCTTTTGATGTCTCTTCTACAGAAAATGAAAACTGTGTTTTACATTTATGTCTAACCGGGATCAAGGACCAGGTAAGTTGACCAATGATCTGGTCATTGGAATAACGAATATACATATCGCGATTTTCTGGAAATTAATACCCTACAGATCTTGCTCTGAGAAGCAGCATTACATATGCCCCCTCCGTGAGTTTGAGATACGAAAACACATGTTCGTCATTTTATGAATCATAGTGGTATTTTCTACATGTGCCATTAGTTTCCCCATGCCCATTAGCGTTGAGCGGATGAGCCAAAAATTGTAATTCCTGATTTCAAGATGAATTGCAGTTGATTAAAGAAAGCCGTTATGTTGAAAATTGACCTGTAAAAATGTATTGATCCGTAAAAGAGCGTTTTATTTGGTTTCCCC